CAAAAATTCATCCCAACAGGAAGGTAACAAAAGGCAGAATTCTGGAAGTAAAAACGATCTATGATAGTCAGAGGAGATGTGACTTACTTTTGTAATTCCAGTGAATACTTGTGACCTGGATCTCCTGAGTGGGAATATACTCCTCCACAAACTTCTTCCCCTGCAGTCGATGCCATAAAGTACTTTTTCCAGTATTTCTGTCTCCTCGGATGACTATTTTCACTTAAGTGGAGGGAAAAAAAAAAAAAAAACACGTCATGGTATTTGTAGCACAGATTTGACAAAGATTCAAACTTTGCTCACATATTTGACACATTCGTCTTACTGTTATATTGGACCCCTTTGGCGAAGCGCCTTTGCAAACTTTGGTTCATGGACTGCAGTCCTGCTGGAATGGTTTTCTCCCGGAGCTGCCCCGGCTCAGATCCCACCAGCTTCTTCAAAGCCGAAAACATTTTTGAGGTCTCAGGAGGCGTAGAGGGGAGTGAAAACACTGAGACGCCACTTAATGAGATTCCTTTTGTAAGAACAGAAGGAGCAGTGTAAAATGGTGTCCTTATAGCTGGGAAGTTAGGGCTCCATGTTTAGAAAGAGGTCAAACTAATTATTATGGATCAAGTTTGACTTCTGTTAAATCTGACTGAATGTTCCTTCTTGGTCATCAGTGGTGGGGATCAAGAACATCATCATCTGTGATTAAAAAAAAAAAAGAACAAAAATAATTGTTGGTAATCACTGGTTATCACTTAAAGACAAACCAAACCTTATTTGTCTATCAGAGGTTTTTTTCAGAGTTTTCAATCTTTCAGGAACTGATAGGTTGCTTAGAGCTACAGATTACTGCAATGCTTTAGAAAAATAAAGATCTAGGCATAAATGTGTTTCAATTGTACATGAGGCCAAAATAAAAGCCTCAAATATATAGGCACTCTTGTATGTCTATATATGATTGAATGACATTTGACCATGCGTCCTTTCAGCAATGTCCGGGGTAATTTAAATGGGGTAGTTTTCTGGACTGGACCCTTTGGGTTTCTCCTGAACATCCTAAACGATTTCCATTCATCCAAGATGGATAGTTTGGATATTTGTCATCGTGGTGAAACATCAACATCACTTCATATACAGCTGTTTTAACTGGCAATCAGGAGTTGTTCAGAAATGATGCAAAAATACTTTTCCAGCTGATGTAAAACTATCATTTTCATTGTCAAACATTGAACAGGTTCCAGGGCTAATCAAGGGAGTCAAACAAATCAGAGAAACCACAAGCTGTGGTCAATCATGATCAAAGAAGTTAACAGATGTTGGCCTTCTCAAGTTTATGAAATTCTAGCACTTCAGTACCACTTATTAAAAGTTTTAGGTGAGTACATGCATATATTTCAGCCTGCATGTAGAATTTTGACCCTAAGTGGATAAGAGAAAATTCACAGTAAAAATCAAACTGGGACCCCAATTTATATTTTTAAAAATCATAGGAGATGTATAATATATAATTATTTCACCTGTAACTCAAGTAAAACAAATCATGAAGCTTAAACGGAATATGCATTCTAAGGTTTTCTGTATGTTTTCCATTTTGGCTTAACTTTCATTTACCAATAAAAGTATTGGTAAAGAATGAGTGGCTTTGAATATTGGAGGTCAGATTTAAATCATCTGGGAGTCAAGTGAAGACATTCAGTCATACATCAAATGAATGTTCATGTGCAAGACCTGCACCTATACTGAATAGTAATCATCACTACAGTATCAGTGTTTGTAATTATACAATCACGATGGACTGTCTGTATGTAGTACTTTATAGCTTCAGTCGTTCTGTACTCAAACTCTGCATCCAAATATTTGCCCAGATGTATGGACTACTTCTGTAGTCCTTGATCCACACACCTGGAATAAATTTAGTGACCAATATGCTAAAGCAACTTAGTGGGAATGATCCACACTATAAAACTCCACACTTTCTTTTTTTTCCCCCCTTGCATCATGCAGTCTTACGGTATTCTTTCTTTTCAACTGCACATCCCATCTAGTACCAAAGGAAATCAAGATAAACATTTTCCGTGTCACTGGTCAGGAGGATAGAGCTTAAATGCCTGGATGTGTAACTGCAACTTCACAAAAATTACATCATGGCCTTTCATTCATTCATTCATCCAGATTGTTTGCATTAATCTTTTTTGCATCCAAAACATTTTAGAAGATCAACCAAAGCAAATAAACCTCCCATAAATCGATATATTTTTGCTGTATGTTAGCCAGAAGCCAGTGCCTACTTCTGTCACACAAAGGAGAACACATGAGAGGCTGAACCGGGTAAGATGATGAGGTCAGCTGACCCTCTTCACAGCGGCTCCAGTGACAGTGTATTAGTAGGTGGCTCATTAACCTATGATTAAATACTACAATTTAAGACACAACAAGCTTACAGTTGTGATTCTTTATATCTATTTCATATAAGTAATGGAGAGGACACAATGTCCAGAAAACATCCCATCTCGATCATAACAAGTAACCAAATTAGAGTATTCGTGTCCGTTCATTTAAAGAGACACCAAATCAATTTTAACAGTACTGAATGATATATTAACACACTTCCTCGCCATTATTCAGTTTCCTATTCTCACCGTCGTTCAGTTAGCATTAGCTGTCTATTCACTTCGCTCCGTTAAGTGAGTACTCTGCTAATTATACCTTTATTGTTATAAAACCCAAGTATGTATACTACGTACATTACTGGCTTCAAAAAGAGATGAGATAGCCAAGGTTCCTACCTGCTGTTACCCTAGATAAAGGAGGTAACGTTATCCCCCAGCTCAGTTTTAGCTAGCTCTTCCAGCCGCTGTATTATTAGCTTAGCGTTTCGAGCTCGCGGCTCCATAACAGCACACAGCAGCAGCCCTCAATTTCGCTGCGTCGCCATTAATACTCACTGCTTTGTAATGAGGAGGGGGACCTGCATCTTTTTCTCAAAACATCTGTCAGACATCCATCCCGACACAAGGAAAGCAGCCACATTCCTTCGCAAAGACAGCGGGCACGTAGAGCTGGCATCAAGCTTATCGCAAAACTCTGCAATGTCCGATAGGACCTTCAAAATAAAAGCAGGCATTTAAAGTTTTTACAGGGATTTTAAGATTACACATAACAGGTTTTTGTCGCTTACAAAACATTAGGCACCACTGAAGTTCATAAGAATACAATTTTATAATGAATTGTTTTCATTTAACTCAGTTATTTAATTGATGTACTGCAATTATTTTTGTTTTATTTACTGGTACAATTTTAATCCTAAATTAAAGTGTCTTTATCTAAACTTCTTATGAGTCATTACATATAAAACAATGGGGAGAATCTTCTGTAGTGGTCTGTTTTGCACTAAATCTGAAGAAACCTCTGACTGAAGACAGTCTGGGTCTGTCCCTTTGAGTAGACTGCTATCGTGTCTCCAGTCCACTGTGTTTTCCAAGTGAATACAGAGACACTAATGCTCCTTCAGCACATTTGTTTAGATTTGATAGTAGATGATTGTCAAAATCACTGGTGTCAAACTCCAGTCCTGGAGGGCCACTGCCCTGCAACTTTTAGATGTGACTCTACTGCACCACACCTGAATAGAATCATTAGGTCATTAGCAAGGCTCTGGAGAACTTATCTAGACAAGAAGGAGCTAATTAAGCCATTTCATTCCAGTGTTTTGTACCTGTGGCACATCTAAAAACTGCAGGACAGCGGCCCTTGAGGACTGGAGTTTGACACCCCTTTTCTAAATGGAGGTTAGGAGTCAACGTTAAGAGGTTTTGGTGGGAAATTAGGTTTTGGGTGCATTACTATATTTCCCTTGTTAGTTTTGCTTGCAACAAAAACAAGAACAGTTATGAATAGTTAAAATAGAAAAAAATATTTAGGGCTTTCATTGGTTGAAGTTTCACTGATGGCTCTAAAACATCAGTATCACAGTAGAGCCTGTATATCACAGGCTCTACTGTGATACTGATGTTTTGCAGGGGTCACCAACTCCAGTCCTCGAGGGCTACCATCCTGTAACTTTTAGATGTATCTCTGCTCAAACACACCTGGATCAAATAAACTGCTTGTTTCCAGCCTATTGCAGAGAGGAATGAATAATGGTGAGGGAATTCAGACATTTTGGAGCAGAGGTGAATCTAAAAGTTGCAGGATGGTAGCCCTTGAGGACTGGAGTTGGTGACCCCTGCTCTAAAACATCAGTATCACAGGCTCAGTGATCAGTTAATGTTATTAAAACATTAAAACCTTAAAACAACAAGCTTGTGTAAAAAGAGATCTCTCTTTAACAATCAAGCTCTAGCTGAAATGTTGTTACTGAAAACATTTTTCAACAAGAACACAGAAACCTCACAGAACAAGGTAAATACAGCTTAGAGCTTCTGTTCTGCCTGAAGACCCAGAAGTGCAAAAATAAACCAGAAGTTCAAAATGAGCTGGCGTGCTTAGCTGAAAAGGGGGAAGTGGGCATCTTCAAGGAGGTTAAAAAAAAAGTGAACATTTTTTTATTATTTTGGCTGATGAGACTATGAACATTTATACTTTAAAATTGTCTTTGTTTTCTAAAAGAGACAGTGATATAAAAATAGTTTGTGTGTTTGTGGCTATTTTGTTGACTTAATTTTCTTATGAGGGCATATAGAGTCTATGCAAAAAATTCTTGCTGCTGAAATTTTCAGTGCAGTTGTCATAGTTTCAACAGTTGTACTAATCCTAAATGGGATAGTAACCAAAATAAAAAAGCTGCGTGGAAAAATAAGCACATCTTTGCTGTTTCCAGGGAATTTTGAAGGACAAGAGGTGCCTCCAACTAAACTGGCATGATTAGCTTATGATTATCAATCATAAAGTCACATCATCTCAAAGTTTGCAGGTGTGGAGCATATGTGTGTGCTAAAGACGAAAGACATCACCAGTGACCACAGATCATCAGCTTTTTACTCTTGCATTATATGATCATTTCCAAACTACTTGATGCCCATCATTTTTCAGGGAGAAAAATATTCACACAAGGAAAACATTTCAGACTGTGGCTAACCTTCTCATGACTGACTGTCCTCTGAGGGTCAGTCATGTGAATGGAGTCTGGCAGTGGGCGGTGGCCAAACCTTGCATTTCACAGGGAAATGAACAAAACAATAAAGCAAGATCGAAACTGACTCTACTGGCCTGAAGTTGTCAAGAGTGTGGTGTGGTGGAGACGGATCTAAGTTCAGTCTAACACAGAGGATGGTAATTTGTTAAATGAACTTATAAAACTGAGGAAAAGGCACAAAATCAATGACAGACAATCTTATGAGAACAAAAATATCAAGGCAATGGTAAACAGGTCAGGTACAGAGTTACAAGTAATCTGATATGCTTAGTAACACAAAATGGATGACGGAGGAGGGAGATGATTCAGATACAAAATGACAAGCACAAAACAAAAATAATTGGAAAAAGAATGAGTATATCTTTCAACCTTGACCAAAAGGGAACAAACAAGAATGTATTTATGCAGAGCACCAAAATTGGTTAAAAAAAAAAAAAAAAAAAAAAACATATCAGCACAAATACCATGTTGGAAGCATGATGATTTCAGCTTGTTCTACAGCCACAGAGCATTTTCAAGTCATAGGCAACATCAAAACAATCTGGAGACAAATGTGAAGCAATCTGACAGCTGAAACCTGGACAAAATTTGTCATCAATTGGACAAACATCCCAAACACTGACACAAATCCACAATAGAATAGTTGAACAAGAAGATTGGAGCAATTACAATGGCCTAGTCAAAGAGCAATTACAATGGCCCTAGTCAAAGTCTGGACCATAAGCTGAAAGAAACGTGTCAGTGGGACCTTGAAGGAACTGTCTAACATAGATGTTTGCAAACTTAATTGTATAAGATAGAAATGCTATGGGAGATGATTGGAGCAGAAGGTGGTTCTACAAGCTACTAATGGGTGTACTAGTGTTTCATACATGGTTGTTGCATTTTGGATTAATTTCTGTTTATTAAATAACGAAAATCTAGAGTACGTTGTGTTTTTGTACAGGTTAGATCTGAAAAAAAAATTGCAGCTCATTTTCATCATGTCCTGATACATTAGAAACAAGTTATGGTCCACGCAGGCTCGAACAGGTCACTCCAACAAGCCCTTACTTTGAAGAATCAGAACTGACACTGCTTCCGAGATGATCACCTCTCCTCAGGTCCAATCCATTGAGCCCAGTCCACTCCACCGCAGCGTGCTTCCTGATGCTCCGGCTCTCTCGGGCTTGCATCCTCAGCTGTCACTGCCATCTCACTCAAACGCCTGCTCCGTGCACGTGAGCGGCAGACGTCGTTATGGGCTCGTAAACATAAGCAGGTATACACGTTTTAATAAATTTGCCAAAAAGCAATGAGTCACTGCTGGCGGTTATTTCGAAAACTACACCAGTCGGTGTTTGTTGTCTTGAACACACCCCGCTGAGCCCCCCGATATTGTTCAAGGGGAATAATGGCTGCACAAGAGCCGTCTCCACCATCTTCCCTGGAAGGCAACAAGCCGGGCTTCCCAAAGAAAATTCTGGCCAACAACCTGGAGGACAAGCATCTGTGCAACTCGTGTCAGAAAATCCTGCGGAGGCCCCTGCAGGCCCAGTGCGGCCACCGCTTCTGTTCGTTCTGTTTCAACAAGCTGGTGAGGTGAGTGGTGAGTGTGGGGGCTGCTAGTGGAGGGTGCTAGCTGGAGTGTGTGGAGCCCACCGCCAGACTCCATTCACATAATTCACGTTTTAACTCTTCTCCACCGGTTATCACGGGAAGCACTTTATAGGATTAAAAATGAATAACATCAAGGGAATTAGTGGGGGGATATGGCATACGGCTAATTCACAAACACTGTCTGAGCCAAGAGAAAATCTGGACCTGAGTGATGAGCTGGTTGTGTGTTTTCATTGATGAGGCTGGTTTGGAAGTGGAAAATGTGAAAAGTTTGGCTCGACGTAAAGGAAATAAAATCACTACCGAGTCGCTTTGCATGCCGAATATACCAGAAGGTTTGACTCTTTTATTCCATTAATTATATTCCACCAAAGCTTTAAATACAACTACACTGATTAAAATTCGCCATTTTTCGAATGGAGTTTGGGCTGTCTATTTAAATTTGGAATAACGTATTTACGCTAACCAGAATTAACATATATTGCTTCCATTTTTATCTTGAAAAGAAATCGGCAGTAGGACTTCAAATGATACCGTTATATGTTTGTTATTGAACATAATAAATTAAAAATAATCTCATATCGGTTTTCTTTTTGGAGTGACGGTGCGGTGAGGAGAATGAGATCACCGGGTTTCTAGTCTGAAAGTGCGCATGTGTAGGATGGAATGGCACTTTTCCTTTTTCTTTGCTATCCTTTAGTCGCAAAAAGTAAAAAAAAAGTAAAATCATTATCAGAAAGTGTGATTAAATATAGTTGAGATGCTGTCACAGCTTTGTAATAACTATCAGAGTATAAATAAACACAAGAGTGCTCATTTGAGTTCTCCCTTAGGTCAAAAAAACGGAAACGTACCTAATTCTGGGTCAATGTCAGTCGGTGTATAATAAACTCACTGCTCAAATACTGTCTAATCGACGTATCCAATAAGATTTCTTGACAAGAGATGTGTTGCTAAAGATGTTAAAATTAAACAGTGTTACTGTCTGAATGACAAAAACATTTACGTGCAAAAAAAAAAAAAAAAAAGTCGTCCATCACTGCTGTTTGCGGATGCTGCTGTACATGTGTATCAGAAACGCGCAAATGCAAAGGTTTCTGTCAGAAACTTTGTAAAAAAAAAAAAAAAAAGTGAATCATTTCATTAAAATTTTAACAAGTTAATATATGAAATTAATTCATCAAAAGTCCTGGCCCTCGATCTAAAAATGTTTCAGGTATGAATGCTTTTGCATGTCAAAGTACAACAACTTTATATTATCATTTATTTCTTATATTTTTTGGTAAATCTCCTGTGAAAATAGTATGATGTATTGACAGATTGTTAAAAGCAGATGAAACAGTAGTGATGTGGGTTTATCTATTTTCCCTCTCCTAGTTCTGGACCACAGAAATGCAGTGCATGCATCAAGGAGGACTTGTTTGAGGAGCCCACCTCCATTCTCAAGCCTGGCGGTGTAAGCGCATTGAACCTTCCTTTTGTTTGCTGTAATGTATGTTTCAGATATTTAGTCCTTACCTGAGATTTCTACCACAGCAGGTCAACTTCAGGCTCAGTTTAAGTTTTAGTATCAGTATCATAAAGCTCAGCTCTTACACAGGTCTGTCACTATGACTAAGTTTGCTAGGGAATCCCATTGGTTAACTTTTATTGACAAGGTATTACCTAGACTCCTGCTGGTCTATATTTGTACTGCAGTCACACTGAGAAGTGTTGAGTGTTATACTTCTTGTTCACATGATTTGTGGCTTCTTTCTGCTCGGACTGAATTGGGTAATAAGACTTTTGTTCACTCTGCTCCCTCTTCTTGGAACTTGTTTCAAGAAATGTTGAGATTGACTGAATTCATCTCGTTTTTGCTTTTGCATCCAAACTAAAAGTTCTTGAGCCCAATTCAACAACAGGTAGCTGTTTTTTTTTTTATATAGTTTGACATTTTCTTTTAACTGTGTAATTTTTCTGTATTGTATTTGTTGCTGCCTTTTGGCCAGGTCTCTGTTCAAAAGGATGTTTTTAATCTCAAAGGGTACTTTGATTAAATAAATCAAATAAATAAAGGTGAAATAAAAAAGGATCAGTAGTAAGGTTGAACTAGTGTTAAACTTTTCCATATTTTCTTGATGGGAGGCAGAATATATGTGGATGTAAAACAATAAAAATAAAAAATAAAAACACCCTGAGAGTCAACAGAGTAACTATGAGTGTTTTCTGGGTTTCCGACCCATTGCTGCTCGTCTTGGATCCAGTTCTACAAAACATTTTGAGTACACTGTGATTGTTGCCATAAAAAAAAAGAAGCAGACACTGAAACTCTAGTTCTGCTGTCTATCTTCATAGGTGGTGAAGAAATTAGAGCCAGGGGAGAAAAGTGAGCTCCCAGCGTTGTGTCCATCGGTAAACCGATGCAGAGCGTTTGTAACTCTATACAGCGATAACAGCCGTTTTCTCCTGTCCAGGCGTTCCCAGACAACGCAGCTCGGAGAGAGGTGGAGGCCTTGGCAGCAGTTTGTCCTAATGAAGGATGCACATGGACTGGAACTGTCAGAGAGTTTGAGGTAAATCCCAGAGCATTATTTCCCTCTGGGGTCAACCACACCCTTCATCTGTTACTGAGGATTATGACAGATTAGTCCGTTCAAAACGAAATAGATTTATCTGATCATCCATTCAAATTATCAGATCCAGCTCATAAATAATATGTTTGTTTACAAATATAATTAATTTGGAAAATTCAATTAATTGATCTGATTTGATTGGTGTTCAAATAGAAAAAAAATCTAATTGTTTTATTTCCTGTTTGTTAAATGCAACAAAACTAAGATCTCCCACCATTTTGGTTCCATGAGCACATCAAAGGCATGAACTGTGATGCACTTTTGATGGAAATAATGAAGTGGTAAGAAAACTGCTGCCTTTGGGCCCCTGCAGGCGAGCCATGAGGGCAACTGTGACTTCATGATCATCATGTGTCCATCGTGTAAAGAGCTGATGAGAGCCAATGAACAGGAGCGCCACAACGAGCGAGAGTGTCCAGAGAGGACACTGAACTGCAAATACTGCAAAGAGCCATTCCTCTTAAAGAACATCAAGGTGAGGATTAAACAACTAAACACTATTCATGATGCGCTGCTTGTTTGTACCCGTTACCAAATACGGTCATCCTCAGAAACACTGGGCTGCCAGGAAGCTGAAAGCATTTCACTGAACTTATTCATGGTTTGGATTCATGAATAATAAATACCATGATTAGTCATGGTTTTGAAAAATCATGGATATGCCGTAATTATGGCATACTATCATATTGGTCATATCATCATATGAGTATGTGACGGATCATATTGTAAATGATCTGTCACAGATAAATCATAGACAATTATCATTAGTCGTAGTTCATTTTACACTTAGTTTGGCCATTTATTCATTCATTGAAACTCCATCCAATTGGGAGAAAATGGTAGTGACATGCAAAGTGTGGTTCTTACAGTTGTTAATGTTGCTAACACTAATAATGCAGTAAAGATATTATCATTATATTTTGTGCAGCTTTCAAAATATTTAGCTTTTTTCTTTTGGGTCCATATAAAATTTGAATGAACAACACTTTTCATCTGCCGTTGTTCATAAACATTTGCTAAGGGCAAATAAGTAAAACTTGAATTTCAGATGTGACATTTTAAAAGGAAATACTCATTTTGTCAAATTACAGTTTTGTGTGCCTTTCTGACAGTAAATGTTTTGAACTGATGTGCGGTGTCGTTTTAGGCTCATGATGAAATCTGCCCAAAATACCCAATGATCTGTGAAGGCTGTGCGAAGAAAAAGATCCCCCGTGAGAAGGTATCCTGGCCGTTTCCACTCTGCTCCATTCTTCAGTTTGATGAACCTCTCTCTGCTCTGAGCTTGGGATCAAACTCTCTGACATTCTTTACGCCATTGGCTTCTTTCATTTTTGTTTTGTTTTGCAGTATGTGGACCATATTAAGTTCTGCAGTAAATTTAAAACACCATGCAGATTTCATGTTGTTGGCTGCGATACGTCTGTAAGTAGATACTTTTGTCACAAATTGCTATATGTGCATGACTGCCTACTGTGATAACTATTCCATCATTAATAACTTGGCAAAATGAAATATATCACACTTCAGACATATTCAAACAAAAAGGTCAGGTAAACATTTTTTTTCCTGCAGTAAGCTAAAGAATTTAGCATTTTTGACTATATCAGTAAGTTTGCCAAGTTATTGGAAAAACACTTCTTGGAGAGGATGTTGCTCATGGAGGATAAAAAGGGACAAAATCAAGAAAAACAAACAAACTCATCCTTAAAATATGAATTAAATGTACCATGATGTAAACAAATGTTTAAATAAATGTGAAATCATTAAAATGCAAACCAATAATTAATTAAATGTGTATTTAATTATGTCATGGTTCCTGATCCTGCATCATCATCATGAAATAGTTTTCTGTTAAACTTGCCTATCACATTCAAGAGCGTATTAAAGATGCTCAGTGTAGTGTAAAATTAGGTGGAATTTCCCTTTAGCCATTTTCTAAATCAGAAGCTGCAAACAAAAGCTAACTTCTGCTTCATGGCATAGTGATAAGCCCATAGCCCCACCCCTCAACTGTGATAGGTGAGTTTGACAGAGAAGTACTTCATCATAAACCTGCAGGAACAGGAGACATAAATAACTGAATACACATTTAAATACCTGCATAAAGTAATGTAAGTTTGGATTTAACAATTTAATGACATGATTGTTAAATTGATTGGCAGATAAATGGTTATTGTAATGATTGAAAGAGGTATTTATTAATGCTGTCCCTTTTAGTCTTCCGTAGTTGCTACATGTCTGCTAAATCTTGTATTGTTGGCTTTAAATCTGCTGTTTATGCAATGTGACAATAAAGCAGCAGTTTTGTTTGGCATAGGCAAGATGGCTCACTGCCCTGGGTGGCATTACCATAAGGGGCATCATAAGTAGTCAAAAACAAAGAATAGAAAACTGTTATTTTAATTGAATGACTTGGATATTGTTTAGATTCCAGATTAAAGGATTGTTCCTTAGATATGACCACTGATCACATGATCACCGTTTCAAAGCAACACAGAGGATTACATGCGCTTAGGTTAATCTGGCATGAAGCAACAGGGGTAATATAAACATTTTCTGTCTTGCAAATTTTCTGTCTTGTAAATATTTTATTTTCGGTGAAACTCATCAATTTTTTATTTACGTAATAATATTTTTGAGCTGGTTTATCTTGTCAAACCCATCCTTTTATTTAAAATGTTAGAGAAACCTGGACTGATCAGGTTACTAATCACACCCACAATATTTAGTACTACCTGTTTTGTTAAGAAGCTCTTCAGCTAAACAGTATTTGGTGTCATAGTCTCTGTTTTAACTCGATATTGATCACAAATCAATGATCAATAGTGTTTTGGTTTTGTTCCACTCAGTGATCATGATGGATCAAAGGCATTTCCTGTCTTTGGTTGAAGCCATTGCTGAATGCTGCTGCATGAACTCCCCAGCATGATGCTTCCACCGCCATCTTTATACTAATGTGGGACTAAATTTATTTATGTCAAGCTGCTGTGTGCTGTTCATTCAGTCATGTGGTTTAAACCACCATTTTAGCAAAAGGCAACTTAGAGTTTTTGAAAGGTGTTGAAAAATAAGAAGTGACATTTTTTTCGGTGTAATAATCAAAGACGCCATAAAATAAGATATTATAAAATAAAATGATCAAAACTTTGATTCTGATAACTGAACAAAGTTTATCAGCTACCATTTTAGACTATTGCCTGAATCAGATCATGAGTCATTTGTGAAAAACTTCATGGATTTGTGACCCCCTAGCTAATTGCTACTGCTGTTGTTTTTTCCTTTCATCTCTTAACTGTTGATGATTATGATGAGTCATCAACCCTCCGCTCCCCCACCACCACTCTGAATGCTGTCGGTCCCTGACATTCTGAAAGCAACTCTGACAAATCAGTTAGTCTGAACAAAAGTCTTTTTCTATTAAAACTCATAAATGATCTCTCCTGGAATCTTACTTTAACATTAGCTCATTGTATTTTGGTTGGAACTCAGACTATAAAGCCTGCCTGATCTAAGGTCCACACATTGTGTGTCAGTAGTGAGTCTTTATTCAGCTGGATGAACGTTCTACGAAACAGTCGCGACTGTGAAATGTCTAAGAGAACAATTAAACTTTTAAAGTTTAGGTAAAATAAATTTTTTTGAGTAATAATATTAAAATATTATGCCCTCGTCAAAAAACATACCTGGAGTGTTACTTGAGTCTTTCACGCAAGTTTAAGAAATCCTCCGATCTCCATAACAACCATTTATTTGGTTGTCCTCATCGGAGCTGCAGTTTCCAAGCTTCCTCCTCACAGAGCAGCCCTCCCCTGTGACTCCACCACTCGGCTCCTTCAGACTAGTCAGCAGCTATTAGCAAACACAAAATGGTACTATATGCCTGGAAAACACAAAGTACTGCCCCTTTAATTCATTGTGTATTTCATTATGAACCAGCTCTGCCACATAATCTTACTGTTTTCTTTTGTTGTTTATGCAAGTCTTTAAAGAGACAAACTGTTTATTTTCTTAATTTTACAGTTTCTATTTTTGTTTCCAAGGTGGAGAAGGAAAAGATCCACGACCACGAGCGGCAGTGTTCATACGAGCACCTCAACCTGCTGCTGCATTTCATCATGGGCATCAAGGTGAGTCTGGAGAGCCTCCAACCGCAGACCTTAGAGGTGGCCAGCCAGAAGCTCCAGGTGCTGCACCAGTCCCTCAGAGAGCTGGAGCTGAAGATGAGCCAGCTGGGTGGGGGCGGCCCCGCTCCCGTGCAGGGTGCATGCGCTCTCACCCTGGCCACGTCCTTCACCCCGCTGCCCAGCGCCATGGGTGCCGCCCTGGAGCTGCAGCTCCAGAGCGAGAAGACCAAGGTGGCCGAGCTGAGCCGGCGCTGTCAGGAGCTGGAGCTGAAAGTGAACACGTTTGAAAACATCGTCTGTGTCCTGAACCGGGAGATGGAGCGTTCCTGCACCACCATGGAAGCCTACAACCGCCAGCACAGACTGGACCAGGACAAGATCGAGATTCTCAGCAACAAGGTATGAACGAGCCCTGGATGCCTCTTTACATACCCAGTAACACAAAGCTATACCCAGTACCACCACATCATAGCCCATAACACCATAACATACTCAGTAACACATCATACCCTGTCAGTTTAGGTTGATGGTCATGTCTTGGTATGGAGTTGTGTCACACTCTTTCCATTTAGAGATGATGGGTTAAAATATCTTTCAAGAACCTGACCCTGCTTTAAGTAGTTTCTCCACAGCTCCCTCCCTCACTCATCTGCTGTGTTCCTTGGATTTAGTGGATTGAAAATATCCAGCTAAAACGGTCTTATTCCTTTGGTGCTTTGCTGCAGGTCCGTCAGCTGGAAAGGACGGTCAGCCTGAGGGACCTGTCCATCGTGGAGATGGAGGGGAAGATGAGGGAGATGTCTGCAGCCACCTACGATGGCGTCTTTATCTGGAAGATCTCTGATTTCACCAAGAAAAGGCAGGATGCCGTGGCTGGCCGTGCTCCTGCTATGTTCTCTCCCGGTCAGCGTTCCATCCGGAGATGCTCTCACCAAGCGCTTATGGCCTGGAATAACCAAGATCTTCACACTCACTCAGTCGTTTGATTTTGTCTTCCAGCGTTTTATACAAGTAAATACGGCTACAAGATGTGCTTACGAATCTACCTGAATGGTGACGGGACGGGCCGCGGCACACACCTGTCTCTGTTCTTTGTGGTGATGAGAGGACACAGTGACGCACTCCTTAAGTGGCCTTTCAATCAGAAGGTAGAAGTCTTTTTTTTTTATTAGTTTAAACATTATGTTGCTTTTTTTAACAGAATCCAAATAAATTTAAACTACCTGTAGGGCTCTCCATCTAGACTGGAACCAGGATGAGTTGAGTTAAAGTTTTATAAACTTTTATGAATTTTTTAAATTAGAAAATTTCATAGTTTTCTTATGCTTAGTGTAAGTTTTGAACCCAAAATTCAGGCATGGACAGGCCAAAATGATTTGCTTGATGGTTGGGTCCAGGCTTTTGTGGCCTATTTTCTAAGCCTATAATACATCCAGCAGAGAACACCACATCAGAGTGTACGATATAAAGCTGTGTTAATCTACTTATTATTGTCTAAATAGAGGAGTAGGCAGCTTTCCCTGTTGAGGAACAAAAGAAAGTAAGGTGGAGAGCAGACACTCATCAGACTGTAACAAGCAGAGCACACAGTAAACACTCCCATTAATCACACAACCTACATCATTTGCACTTGACTCATCCTCCAGTTGCAACAAATAAAATTCAGTTTTCATTGTGCAGTTGTATTTACAAGGGTTCCCAGGAGAAACTCTTTCCTTTAAAACCAATATGGCAGCAGGATGCACATTTGCTAACTTGCATTTGAACAAACGACATTGTTCTGGAACAATGTTTTTTGAAGAAATAAGACAGAAGTAGATGTATTTGGACATGGTGGAAGGCGCCATGTTTTTAGAAACGGAACCAGAACAAACACGTCTCACCAAGTGTTAAACACCGTAGTGGAGGGCTGTAGACTTGAACTTGTTTGTAGGATTACATGAATGTTTTGTGCACTAAAGTGTTCTACAGTCATAAGTTCAGGCAATAGCTGAGACAGATTATCTGTCTTGGTGACAGTTTTAACAAATATATAAAAAGGTTACAACCACAGCTTTAGAGGAAGGTCTATAAGCTGTTAACTCTTGAGGTGTACTTAATTTTTCATTCAGAGCATTTTTATTTTGACTTCTCTCTAAATAAATGACTAAGAAGTGTTTTGTGGGCTCTTGTTCTCCTGACGTTACTTCAAAGGCCAGATAAGTTTCTTCTTACGCCCTGAAATTGAAAGAGGGCTGTTTCCTGAGGGTTTTACCCTGATATTCTCATTTGGTCTAGGCATTAAAGACCAGATTCCAGAAAACTGAAGTCTACAACACACCTTTGTAGGTGCACCTTTAAATGCACCTTTAGTGGGATTCGCATTATTAACATTAGTTCAGTCTGATCTGTAGAGAATAGTCTTATGTAGTGCAAATCTCTGCTGCACTAATCTCCAATATCAGCCTTCAAACAGTGAAACAAAAGCCGCCTCAGCTCCAGATTCCCTGTTGAAGCCGCCGTTGGGTAATACTTGTACCATCTGTGCAGGTTACCCTCATGCTGCTTGACCAGAACAACAGGGAGCACATAATCGATGCCTTCCGGCCCGACATCTCATCTTCGTCCTTCCAGAGGCCCGTCAGCGACATGAACATCGCCAGCGGCTGCCCGCTCTTCTGTCCTCTGTCCAAGCTGGACTCCAAAAACTCCTACATTCGTGACGACACCATCTTCATAAAGGCCATCGTCGACCTCACTGGGCTCTAGAGAAATCGTAAGAGCAGAAATCCCAACTTTGCCTTTTGTTGCGACTAACCTGTTCATCAACCGGCCTTCGTATTAGCAGTAACCAGCACTTCTCTCTGGGAGGTGTTGTGTCGTTTGGTTTTGGAATCAGTTGTTGTTGACAATATGCAAGATATCATTTTTTCTTTGTTGGCTATTCAAGTCCTTCAGTCTCTGTTTTACCAATCAGAAGGAGCTTTTATGCATCAAAGTTGTGACTATTCACCAAAGTGACTGCAGAACTTTAAACAGCGTTTTTACTAACCAAGGCATTCCAACAAGTGTGTAGTGTACTATGTGAAACGAGCCGACTCTGCCCGCCTCATTAATCCCTCATGAACATGTTGAAGCTCCTGGTGCTTCAGAAGGGGCTCACCTTCAAGGTTTAAAGGAAGCTTTCCTGTAGGCACTAGTTAATGCTCTTGTTATTACTAGTTATAACCCAGAAACTTACTAACTGCTAAGATAACTAACAAACACGCAAGTCCCTGAAAATATTCAGCTTCTTTAATGACACTCATTAAGTCTTCTGTGATCGTTCCACTGATTTCCAACAAGATTGTTTTTCTGGTACTGCAAGTTTCCTTCCGTCTTAACTAGCTGGTTTGGGACTAATTAAAGGGTTTAATAGAGAAAATATTCACACGTGAGTCAAGCTGAAAAGAAAGTGGTCTGAGTTAATTAAAAATAAGAAAATATGAGTTAATAAAACCAAAAACTATCCAGATATTTCTTTTTTCCCAGATGCCAAGCCGAGTGGTTTTAGAACTGGTGTTCCTGGATTCAGACTTTCAGTCAGATCCTCTTTGTAATCATCGCCTTGTTTGCAAACTCAGTAGCTTTAAGGAGGAGAAAATGAACTACTTGTCAACTGTATTATGTGGTCCAAGTTGGTTTGATAATCGTGAAGCCGTTACAGTGACAGGCCGCTACAGTCCCAGCATCAATATGGTGCTTGGTTAATGAAAGCCAGCATAACGTTCTGGTAACACATGAGCTAAAACACTTGTAGTTTCATATGTGTTTATAGTTACTGTATGTCTGAGTCCACATGTGCACATTTCTCCTGCTGGTCTTGTTCTCTGTTTTGATGTGACTTGTTGATAGTTTGTTGATAGTTATTTCAAAAGTCATGTTCATGAAATGAGCGCTTTGCTTTGAAGGTGGTGTAATCTAATAGGACTTCAGATTTATTTAAGTAACACTTTTAATACAGGTGTGCAAGCTATGCACAGGGAAATATATGCCATGCTTTTAAAACAATTGGCTGCAGAAAAGCAACCAAAGAAATTTAAACACCAAATGAAGCACCCAGGTGTTCGATTCTGGATAGATTATTTGAACAAAAAGGAGATCAGAGCTTCTACGTCTGAAAGGAGAAATGGAAAACTGAAAAGGTTATACTAAAACTAAAGCTTCTAAAATTCCTGCCCAGGTCTGATTATTATCAGACTTTTGAGTTAACGCCACCAAAAAAAAAAAAAAAACAATCTTCAATCCAATCGAAATAAACTGTTACATGTATCATATGGGTGGATTGGAGGTACAGCCCATGATGTTATTCAGACAGTATTTCCACATTTTAACACCAGTGACCAATGCTTAATAACATTTTAAATGCGTTTCAAACATTTCCTCTAAATTCATATTTGTCGAGTGGCAGTTTGAGTGACATGTTGCAGGCAGTTGCCGGCGGAAACGCTGAGTGAAGATCAGAGGACGGCTCCCAGACATGCCAGACAAAATGAATTGAACTTGATGGAGTCTGGTTAGTGTCACATTTTGGTTTCGCATTGTGGAAAAAAAAAAAGAACATCACCTGCCATGTTGATCAGCCAGATGCCACATAATGGATCTGGTTGCACATTGAAATCCATCCGATTCGGTCAGTTCTTAGTGCTTTACTTGGTGCCAGCGATGTACGTATGCACCAACACTCCATAAAGTGCATAAAGTGATTCTATCATCTTAATTCCACCTATAGAATTGTTTTTTGCATTTTAAATGATGCACTATGTATTTAAGCATTGCTGATGATTGACAATACAGAGAGGCAGATTATAAAGTCTACAGTCAAAGCAATAGATCAGACCATTATTGGCTGTTGCGCTCACTGTTGTGTACTGTCCAACATTTGGTGATGTCATCATTCTTATTTTATGTTTCTCCCATAAGCTTTGCTCACAGTGTTGTCAGAATTTCTCACATACTGTTGCATAACAGCGATTGGTCCGTGTCTGGCTCTGCTGTTCTTTGGGAATCATTTGTCTCTTGAAGCCCATCAGTTCTGTCTGCCGTACTTCTGCTGCTAACATTCCTGTCAATGTGTCTTTCCAGTTCCTTTCCTCTGAAAGAAATTCTGTGGTGTGAAGTATGAATCAAGCCTTGGTTATTGTTTTGTTGCCTTCGGTTACACTGAATAAAGGTGGACAGAGAGTTATGGACTGCTGATGGTCTGTAACAACTTTATAATCTTCCAACACTTTCTCTCAAAATGATCCCTTCCTTAAAAAAATTGTTGAAGACATTGACAACATGCAAAAAAATTCAAACTTTCTCTAAAAAGACAAAAGGAAAATGCAAAGCAAAAATAACTTCAGAGATGACTTCAGAGATGCAGTACCAATGGAGACTGCAGGCTGAAATGAATTGATGTTATTGAGTTCTTTAATGTTCCAACACAGTTCATGTAAAAAACATTTATATTTTCATGGGATTTTTGTTGAGTTGAAACCAGGGGTGCACCGATGACAGTTTTCTGGCAGATTACTAATCTTCAAAAAGCTTGACCTGCTGATTCTGATATTGGCTGGAATGTTTTGTTTCTGAAATGTTGCTAAATTTAGCAAGAAAGTCACTGAGTTGATAACAGTGGAGTGACTATAGTTAACTACAAATTTGCAAACATGACCAGTCTATCACTCAAACATGGCTCTTTAGTAGAGCTAAAGAGGACAGTGGTTGATTTTTAAGACCATTGCTGATAAGATAAGATCTGCTTCACATGTAAGCATCAGCTGATCACCAATCTCTCCAAATGAAGGAAATTGGCACTGATAAATCAGTGCACCCCTAGCTGAAACACTTGTTTCCAATCTATACAAATATATTTTTCTTGATAAGGCTAACGGTGTGTACAGTGAGGTCAAAGTGTGTGTCACCTTACATGTCTTCTGGTGTTGATTTCTTTTATTTTTGTTACACTTGCATGTTTCAGAGCGTCTTAATATCAGATGGAGATAAACTGAGTAAATACATACAAGCAGCTTTACAGAAAAGTATTCACCCCCAGGAACTAGAACCATCATGGGTTTGACTCAACTGAAAATGAGTGTTTTGCAAAACTCCAGAGGATCTTTGGTTAACTCTTCTTGGAAATATTTTTATTCAACCACACTGAAACAGTTTTGATTTTTAAATGGCATTTATATATACATTTTGACTAGGCCTCTTTAAAATATTTATTATTATTATTATTATTATTATGTTTTTTTTTTAGCAAAGTTGAACTTTCTTGTGGGCTTTGGGTTATTTTTCTGCTGCATAACCCATGTGTCCTTGAGCTTATGGTCATGACCCTAAACCCTAACCTTAACCCTAACCCTTCAGCAGCAGGAAGCAGCCCCAGGCATCACACTGCCACCACCATGTATGATCTCAGCATCCACAGGATGTTCTCATAGAAAGCCTGCTGGTCAGAATGATTTAATTTAATTTTATTATTATTTTTTTTGTAAAAGTGAGAAGGGTCTTTGGCCCTGTTCTTAGATCAGGGCTTGATGTGTTTTGTTGTTGTTTTAGGTGCTTTGTCCAGTTTGTTTCATGTTGTCAGATAGCTATGTGATTTTTCTTTCTTTTTTTTTTTTTTTTGTTATTGTATTCTTACAGTGAGTCAGGCTTGGCTTAGGCTAAGGCAACCAAGATGAACCAAGCATTGTGGTTAATCACTGTTGATTCATAATTTGCATAAAGCGATCAGTTATCTTTGGATTGTTTTTGTTCTTTCCATAATAAATAAAATAATTTTTGGAAAGCTGCATTTTGTAAATTATCAGGTTATCATTACCTGGTATTAAAATTTGTAAGACATATCTGAAACATTTAAGAGGAACAAAAACCAGAAGAAAAATCCAGTTTTACGCAGCACTGTTGGGATGGAAGAAGAAAACTGATTATCTTTCTTCCTTATCGACTCGTCTTCTCCACCTTTTAACCAACCTACTTTCCTAGAAAAAGAAGTGCCTGTATTTATGTTATGTAATCTTGAATATTTTTAAATGTGCTATCCTGTATGATTAAGCATAACAGTATATTATGAACATTGGGTTTTAGAACATCTTATCCTTCAGAATTGTATTGTTTTTCTGTTTTTTTTTTTTAATTTACAACATGTTCTAAAATCTCTTGTGACCTTGAATGTTTTTCTTTGCGTGCGAATAGTAGTGAATGTTCAGAGTGAGGCTGGTGAACCAGCATGCTTTTAAACCTCAACACACACTGATCCATCTCTGTGCATGAGAGGCTTCAGTCGGACACCATGCATAACGTTGGCCACTGGTTCACATCGTTGGCCAGGTTCTTATGTACTTTTTATGATTTCACTATTGTATATTATACAAAGTAAGAGAGAACCCTGAGGGGCAGTTGGAGAAGTAAATATATTTAAATAATGCATAGATAATATTTATTGATTAGAAACGTTTTCTGTTGAGGTCGTTTGAAAGCATGTTGTAGTTCATCCGGCTCATTCTTGCCAAGCTGCGTCTCCGTTCTGACTTCAGCTTGTTGCATTCTGTTCCTTTCTGAAACACGTTTCCGTTTCTCTTCTCATGAGTGTTTTTGCACGTGTAGTGATCTCCGTTTTGCACGTTCCAGCAGCCTCAAATGAAGCCCCTTTTCTTCCTGCCTATACAGTGTGTTCTGGTTGTAGCACTAGCAGATGCTCGGCTGACGTGAGCCTGGACTTCTGGTTCGTTTACAACAAAAGGGCTTCACATTTCATCGGCATCCACCTGACGTCACACGCAGGCTTTCGTCCGCTCAGAGGCAGAACCGCGCGGCGGTTCCGTTTGAGCCAGCTGATGTTTCCGTGGATCAGCGACGCTGACATGTAGGAAGTGCCACACTGCCTCACTGTTCTGCAACAGAATAAACAATGTTTTGATAAATACTGCTTCAGAAACTGAAACTAGTCACTTTTTGCTTTCCCTCCACCTCCGTTCCCGTGGATCTGGGTTATTCCTCTAAAGGCCTTGCTGAGATTAGGATGAAGAGCCTTCATCTGTAGCGGTGACATCAGTTGTACTCATTCTTTCTGCTGCATTCTGTGGATAGAAAGTCATGTGTTAGTTAACTCTTTGTACAGAGGAAATTTTGTTCCATATTTGTATTTTGATTTAATAAAGATTTTAAAATGCCCTCCATGCAAAGACTCTGTGTTCTAATGTCCCGATGTTTAGATAGATTAATTTTAATAAATCGGAAAATCATTGAAACGTTAATTTATTTTAGACAGTGAAACATGGATCCACTGATACATTTCAGGTGTTAATTCATTAGAAATGACAGCTAAGAAGAACCCCAAATCATCAACCCCACCATGTCGGATGAGTAAAAAAAAAAAAAAATTAATACAGAAATGTGGCCCTAGTGAAAAGGACTCGATACTTGGTGGTGGCTCCTTTTGCATGAATTACTGCATCAGTGCAGCATAGCATGGAGGAGATCAGCCTGTGGTTCTCCTGAGGTTCTGGAGCCCAGATTGCTTTGACAGCTGCCTGCAGGTCTACTGCACTGTTGGTCTGTCTGTCATCTTCCTCTTAACAGCCCAGAGATTCTCTGTGGGGTTAAAGGTCAGGGGTGGATGTTGACCAATCAAACATAGTAACACCATGATCATTGGACCAGTTCAGTACCCTTCTCAATGTGGGTCAGAACCAAGTCCAAATGGAAATCAAACCAGCCTCTCGATCCAGCTGGTCAGCAGAGGGAAGCAGGACGTTTTCTGAGACTTCCTGCTAGAAGCTGCACTGACTGTGGAGCTCAGAAAACCCAGTGGACCAGAACCAACAAAGGACATGGCAACCCAAACCATCACCGACTGTGGACACGTCACATTGGACTCCACGCTTCATGGATTCTGGTCCTCCAGACTCTTGGACCTTGACTTTTAGCTGATGATTTTTTTTTACTTCCATCTGAAAACAGATGGAATTAAGTTCTGGTTCTCCTCTGCCCAGGTTAGATGGTTCTAACATCTCTGAAACAGTTGCAGGTTGTGTCCCAGTCGCTCTTCAACCTCTGACGCCAGAAGAATTATGAATCTCCTCTAAACTCTTAAATGGCTTTTGTTTTTGTTGCGGTTTTCCCTGTTGCCGGTTTTCATTTTTCTACAACACTTATTCTTTCCTCTCACTATCATGGATCCAACCCTCTGAACTGCCAGCTTCTTCACTATTGACCTTTTGTCTTCCTCCTGATCATGTAGACCATAAAGAAGTATGTTCATTTTTTCACTATATTCTAATTTCCCTCCAGCTGTAAATATCTCAAACTGCACTGGAGCTTTTGACCACATGAGGGCGCTCTGTCTTTGCTTACTTATCACCATCATGCTGAGCTCAACACATGACCCGATCAGTGGAAGACATGTATGACTTCACATGAATAAATAAACAAAATAATTCCAGAGCATCTTTCCAGAAACATTTTGAAGCTTAACAGGTAATAAAGTTATTTCATTTTTCCCCTCATCCAATCCAACAGTGAGAGAAAATGTAATATTTGCTGCTTTTAATAACAAGGTTACAACCAGATTTGGTTTTGTACTTGTATTGTTTAGTTGGGTTCTGTTTTCTGTTTCTTAGTTCCTCTTCTTTTATTTAGATCAGCTGTGCTTTGGTTTTATTTCAGTTCACTGCTTTCTTAGTCGCTTTAGTTTCATCATTGTTCTGTGTTATTTAATTTAAGTCCTGTTCCTGTCCTTTAGTTACTGCTTCCTCTATGATTCCACTTTATTTATTGTGTCTATTATTCTTTAGTGTTACATTTACTTTCTCGTCCTCTCACTCACTCATTAGTCTGGTTCCTTTGTCTCATTGTGTTTTCCGGTTTGTGTTCCTTGGATTACATTTTGCTTTGGACTCTGGCTTTTTGTGGAATTTTTGGCAAGTTGTTGTTCATCATATTTTTATTATAAACTCTACTTCTCTGCCATTCTGCATTTGGATCCTCAACCAAACACCAGCAAGCATGACAGTTTTCCAATGGTGGAGAAAGTACTCAAAAAATGTACTTAAGTAAAAGTACAAATACACAGGCAAAAATGTACTCAA